CTAATCAATGAGGGTTTGTTTTACTTCTGCCATGGGCTGTCTCTCCATTACTCACATCATTCAATAATAACAACTAGTGAGAGGAAATGTGTAATGGACAGGTCACAAATACAAACAGAAATGCAATTTGTTTTTACTATTTCCCTTGTGTTGCTGTCGTGTATTGTATGCGTTCTCATATGTTCGTGAAGCTGCCATCTTGACCAGGACTCCCAGGAAAAGACACCTTGTATCTTAATGGGACATCCTGGGTAAATTAAGATGAATAAATAAAAATAAAACAGGCAAAAAAGCATCTCCTCTTGAATGAAAGGTGTTTCTCAATTTAACTACCATCTGACAAAGACACAACCTCAGTGTATTACTGTTCCACCCTCCCATCTTCAGTATATTTTAGTGATTTAGTATTACCAGAAAAATGTGAGACTGGGGACGGTCAACCGGTGCAATCCTCCTCATCACACCACCTTCCACAACTCCTCACTGCTGCTCCTGAGAGTCATCTAGCTGATTACTTAACTCCTGATTGTAATGAGTGTAACTCTGCAGCAACATATTACTCATGCAACAGGTTGGAGTGGAATGTGAACGACAGCTAACTGAGTAATGAATCTCTAAAGTTGCTGCTGTGATGCACATGCAAGTGTCTGTTTAAAAAAAAAAGGAGGAGATTCAAACTCTCAGGGAGCTTAAACACAGCGATCCCACAGGTCTGATAGACACACAATGAATTTACAATGCTCTCACATCTTATCTCGCTGCTCCCTTAAGCTATATACTCTGTTGCAGCGTTGTAGTGAGTCTGTTATCACTTCAGGAGGAAAAATACACTACTCCACTTTCATGAAAAAGTTAATAATTGCTATACAAATCTAGCAGTGCTGGAGAAGGGCTGAAATTTAAATGCAGTAACTTGAACACATTGGAAATAAAAGGCTTACGCCGATACCTGACAAGCAGATAGTCATTATTCCTGGAAGTGCTAATGAAGAACTTTCTCATTTGGCATTATTTTTTCACACCTCATGAGGATTATTTTACACCATAGGGGCTCAGTCTGAGATAAATTGCTCTACAACGTGAAGTCTTCGCTCTTAATGAGTGAAAAACCTGAGACCAGCCATGACTTAAAAAGACATTGCAAATGCTCTTTAAGGCAGAAAATGAACATAGCAGAGAGCCACCTTGGGCGTCTGCAGATCACTTAGTGCGATCCCTCCTCGCAGACAGGTGAGGGGAGACATGAGGAGTCATGAGGAGGGTGCAGCGGATGTGGCTTTAGAGGGGAGCAGTGCAGTGCCTCCTGCTATCACTCCGGACAAAACCGGAGCCTAAATTGGAGAGCTTCCCCTACACCCAGGATCAACTAGGGAGTATTAATGGATTCGGAGTGGATCAACTGATGGCTATCGTATTTCGCTGTTTTGACTCAGTGTGCACGGACGACCCAACACACACATGTGCATGTGCACCACTGTGGTGCAATGCAGATGTTTACACCCATGTCTTGGTTTGGATCATTTTGTGAGAAAAAAAGCTCTCGCAATCAATTTAGCTGTATCAAACGGTGCTGAGCTGCAAACTTAGATTTATATGAAGAGTGCACAACAGTTCATGTGGTGTTTATTGTGATACAGCCTAATGGAGTGTAAGCATTCAATCAGCACCTGTTTATCTGAGCACATTTTCACTCCAGGTTAAGTCAAAGGTCCAGAGAGATAATTAGGAGGAGAAAAATCTGGTTTTGCTACTAACAGCTCAACAAGCAAGCAAACAACTTATCTACCACTCAGGGTTTAAATGTGTTTACACCACAACAACAAGGCTGTCTTCACATGCTTAATAATACTCATTGATCAGGCCCACAGATAGGGATCACGTCAGCCGCCCTGTCCACACCTTCACCATTTAGCCTGTGTGACAGTCAAGCAACACTGCATGTCGTTTCTGTAGCACCACAAACAATTAACGCCAAGTCACACTGTTTCCTGGTGTGTGACAGAGATTCAGCCTCATGCCTTGCTTAACAAGAAAACTCATTAAGGGTGAGAAAAATATTGTGTTCTGACACCAAAGTAAGCCACAATGTAAAAAAATACACAAGCAAAATGCAGCAAACATATTTAGTTTTGAGCGAGCAAACAAACTTAATTCACTTATCAAACTAAGAGTCAGTCCTCCTTTAAAATTTAGACAATATAAACTATTATAAATAATAATTATACATTGATCTACCTATTTTCTAATGTTTTGTGAGTTTTGCTGCATTGATTATTTCATCATCCAATTATGTAATAGTTTATTTTTCAAACCTACAATTACATAATAGGCTCAGGTGATTATATAAATTTAATAGCATATTTTAAAAAATGTTTTACTTACTTACAGTTAAAAATAGTTTATTCATTTTTAACAACAGCTGTCTGAGCACTGAAATACAGGATCAATTAACATTAAGTGACCTATATTATTATAACACCAATCACATCAATAATTTGATAAAAACAGCCATGATACTTTCTGAAACTATATTACAAATATGACTGATAAAAAGCAATTAATTAATCTGTATTTTCTGTGACAAGTAGCTTCAAAAGCTTTGTACAAATAAAATCAAAAAGATTGTTTACCTCTGCTAAAATTACTTTTATCAAAATAACATAAAAGCTTACACTTCTGTAGCAATTTGAAATAACAATATATAAAATGCATTTAAGTGAAATAACATTTAAAAAATAAGCAGGGCATCAAAACTACAACAATTCACAGCTTTATCTTTTCTAGGTTATTCAAAGTTGCATTTTAAAAGCCCAGTTTTTTACTGAATAAACTCAACAACAAAAACTGTATTATAGTAGATGATATAATGAACAACCAGCTCTGCCTTGTAAAATAGACATAATTTAATAGCCAATCCCACAGTGCCTATTAGCACACCTAAGGCTCTACACAGCAAAACACAACAGAAATATATAAACAAACAGTAAACAGCAGCTGAAACTACAGCAGCCCCACAAAACCAAGATAAACCAGCAGGCCTGAAGATGAGCTCACACACTGCCTCCTAAATGACAAAACAAAAACTAATCATTGATTTACTCTTTAAGCCCTGTCACTATAGTAACCAGAAATATATTTTAAAATCAGATCCATAACGATACACGTAATTATCACGTAATTATCTAAACACAGGATTTAGAAATAACACAAAGGAAATGCAGTTTTAGAATTTTAAACACGTATTGTTAAATAAAAAAGTTATTTCCAAATATGCCTGAGACAGCTTGAGTGAATTAAAATTATATTTAAATGTGATTTAAATTTTGCATAAGGCAGACGTTTGTAAATTACGACTGCAGGTTTGAAAATACGCGTTTTAAGCTTTAAATTTTAAATCAGAGTAAATATTTCTGCACTATAAGACAAAAGCTTTCACAGACGAAAGGAAAAACAGTGGGGAGGTTTTACTATTAAATTAAATTCTCCACCATCAAAATATGGAGTTACACCTCCACGTGTGATTTCGCCCAGTTTCCACTGACTCAAAATGAACACCTGTACGTGTCACGAGCTGCACTCGTGTCGGCCCCACTCATATGGCGAAGATTTCGCTTTACAGGCCTGTTGAGAACACGCACACGCGTTCAGCAGCTTCACACACTGCCGATTGGACACAAGCGGGCACATGTATGGACATTTGCTCCATCTGATTCCGCCCTATAGCCGTGCAGTATGCGGGGCCATCATGGCAGCCATTATGAGGCTCTCCAACATTGCCATGGCCTACGTGCACACTTCTGTGGGGAGTGGCGCAGGCTTTTTTTTACACCATGTTGCGCCTTTCAGCACAGAAAAACGAGCCTCAAAGCGAGGCAACAACACAGCAGCTCGATCTGAAGACATTTTGAACATACAGATTTTTTTTTCTCGACGGTGTGGCACAGCTAAAAAACAGAAAAAAGGCGAGGGCTGTAATGCAGGGAAGTGTAGCCTGCACTGAAGGGGGGAGGACTGTACTGGAAGCGCATAAAGTATGTGTCACGTGTTCCTCCACAAGGGGCTTGAATATTTACCTTTTTGTCACGCAATGTAGTCTTACCCTAAAGCCAAAGGCATTGTTGTGAAACAGGGTGGGTCTATACGTGGTGGGAGCCTATAGGTTGCGTAATCTGCCACAAACGGATGACTTTATTACGCATTACGCACAAGAGAAAAATCTTTAATTATTATTTCCGTGCAATTAAAAGCTCCTTTTCTAATTGTGAGAAGACAAGCTGGTACAAAAGCACAACATGTGACAGAGGTGTGTGGACTTTAGGGTTAACGTATAGATTTACTCACAAAAAAAACACCAGCTCGCACTTTTCCTCACGCACACACACACACACACATACAATCTGTGCTCCCCACATGCATACACACACATGCATATAGTAACCAGAGGAGAGGCTTGGCTGATTGGTATGCAACTCATCGTGCATTGCGGTGTTACAGTCAATAATGAAACCTAACTTTATCGCTCACATACAGGGAAAACGGCCTTATAGGGAAACCATTACGCATTAAGCAGCTGCCTATATGAAAGTGAGAGTACAACCTATATAAGATTCAGTTGAGATGATTTTTTACACGTATGCACTTAGTGTGTGTGTGTGTGTGTCCATGTTTTACAGTGGGGTAGGCCTTGCTGCAGATCACGCGATATGGCAGCAGCAACCGTGTGTTCTGCGGATGTTGGTGCTAAACTGCTTCTTTGTCGCTTTCTTTCTTTTGTTTCAACGCCATGCAGTTACACTTCCATCGCCGGGGAGTAAAACAACAGCAGCGTGGCTCAAAATCACGCACAGGAGCCGAGAGAAGAAGGAAAAAGCTGCGTGCTATATTTCTCAGCGGAAGCCTACAGGTCACAGTCTGCCATGGGGCACAGTATAGGCGTATGACACAATGTGTGTGTGTGCGTGTAAGTGAGTGTATGTGTGTGTGTCAGATTGTAGGCCTACCTTAGTTTTTTGGGAACAGAGTAGTCTACCTCTATCACCTTGCCGTGTAATTCAACTTTACCTGTAGGGGCGAGAATTGATAGTGTAACATTAGCTGTGTGTCATGAAAGCAACAATGCAAAGCTGGTAGGCCTACACAGCAACACTTTGAATCACTTCACCAAGTAGGTGCGTCCCCATTCAAACAGCCAACCCCTTAAAAAAGTACTGTACCCGGGCGCGTTGTGCGCACGGCGGCGGCTAAACTGGGTATGTTTGGATTAAAACAAGCACACAGTGACATTTTGGGGGTCACAACTGGGGGGAATCGGCGCCAAAATGAAGCATGATAAGCTTATAGTGTGGGGGGGAAATGGGCAGCCATGCTTTCCACTCCCACAACCCTCACACAGTGCAATGAGGGGTATTTTTTTCAGCTCCGAGTAAAGAATGCAACATCAAAGAAGAGATGGTTTGAAAGGAGAATGACTTGTACTCTTTCTATTCTAGGTAGGTGTTTCTTAATTCTCCGTGTTGACCCAGCCCGAGGGGGTTGAATTTGAAGCGCTCCTCGGCGAAGCTTGAACACGGGTTTTCGTTACTATTGAGTGGCCTGGCGCAGCACGGAATTAGCGTCTCACCTCGTCCCCCCTCAGCTACCTGTTTATTAGCTCTTTCCTCCGGACCCCCATGACCCACCTCCAAGACACCTCGTAAAAACATACCCAGACATCAGAGGAACATGGATCTGACAAGTTTTCCGCGCTCGCGTCGCTCTGCTCTCTTCAATAAAATCAAGATAAAAAATAAGTGAAAAATAATTATGCCTACCCGAACCATCAGACCATCCCATACATTCCAGCGGGTGATTGCAAAGTAGCGCCCCACACTATCGGAATCTCCAAAATATAGGTTATTGTGCGCGTAAATAGCGTTACGACGGCTCGTGTTTTCTTTAGGCAAACGGGCACTAAAGCCCTGAGTGTGTCCTGTGATCGATCATTTATCCAATTTTTGTTGGAGCGTGCATGGCTGAGCGTTCATCTAAAACTCTGATGGCACACGGATGTGATCGCAAAACACTGTCCCGAGCAACAACAACAACAAAAATATAACAATAATAACACAAGCAATGCGTTATATGCCACATTTGGGACACCCTGAGCTTTTGTGTTTTTTTAAACCTCATCTTGCAGTTTGACTCGCTGTGATATTTTCCCTGTCACCAGCACAGCATCACTTATCAAATCCACACTTACCAGAAAGAGTCTCTATAGCCTTTATGGCCGAGTTCTGGTCGGGGAAGTCCACAAAAGCATAGCCGGATTTCAGTAGGACCTGCTCGGGCACTGGCAGCTTCCTCTCCCTAAAGAGCTGCTTCAAGTCCTCCTCAGTGACCGAAGGACTTAAATTCCCAATATATAGTCTGTACATGATCTGAGAGGAAAAATCTCGAAGGGGTATCAGATCTTAAGAGTGAGAGAGAGTGGCGATTTTTTGCAGAGAAGTAGAAAAATAAAAAATAAAATAAAGTAGAAAAAAATCTGATGGCATTAAAATAAAAAAAACGCTGCAATTATCACCCCCCAGGAAATTACTAAACTATAGGCGACCCCCCAGCACCAACTCTGGCCCCGGTCTAACTCTTTTAACAGGGACTGGGGGAAAAAGTGTCGTTACGACGCTACTCTGGAGCCAACAAGCACCGCCTCTAAATAAAATCTCCCTTAAAAATCACAAGAAAAAAAATGTTTGGAGGTGCATGTGGATTCTCCAGCGTAGAAAGTACATTAGGGTATGAAAGTGGCATGATGATGAGTGGGTACACTGAGCAAAGGGATGGGCTTAAAGGAGGCAGAGGGGTTATTTCATCAAATCATAATAAGGGCCGTGCCTTGGGTCCCTCCAGGCTGGGGGAGTGAGAAAAAAAGGGCTACTGTGTGGAAAATCAAGTCGCTGTCACTGTACTTGTCGACCCAAACAGTGTCACTGATCCCCACAGTTTGCCTTTTATTTATTTATGAGACACACAGAAATATGGATTTATGGAGCGGAGTGTGCAGGGGGTCCTAGCCTCGCTATGGATGTCTGTTTTGGATATCATAAAAACATCTGTGACTATATTTAGGTAGGATTTATGAAACTAAAAATAAGAAACATTATTTCAGCAATACAGAAAGTGAAACCTTAAAGCAGCCATTTTTGTACATTCTGTCCTTATGTAGAAATACCACTGAAATAAACACCATTTCCTGGTCAGGGCCCCGCTGGTTAAAGGGCTTGCAATCTTACACAATGCCATTAAAGGTGATGACACTTTCGCTTTGCATTTCAACCTGTGGATAGTGCTAATGGATCCAAACTGTAAAAGTGAGCAAATATTTATTTTTAGACACTGATAAGGAGAAGTGAGGGGGTTCCTGGCCCTCGGTTTTATCCGTGCAATGGGGGGAGGCGGAGTCACTCACTCATGTATACATATCATCTTTTATTGTAATGTAGGTGTGTGCATGTGGGTGTGTTTGGGAGGGGAGCTAAGCCAAGTCAAAAGCTGGTAATGTAAAGGGAGAGGGCTGCGTGGCGATGGCGGGGGGGGCGGGGGNGGGGGGGGGCAGGCAGGCTGCAGTGCTCGTGCATGGATGTGTACCTTCACCGGTTACCAAGGGGAGGAGCCTCTCGCCTACAGCACTTGAGTGTTTCTACATGTGACTGGCCTGCGCCTTGGAACATTACTGCCACCCTACTGTAGTGGAGAGAGTGCCAGCAGCAGGAGTGACCATTCCTCGCCTTGTTTACGTCACTGTGTGAACAGAGGAATGTCCAAGCTATGGCCTATTTACAAAACAGCTCTTTAGTTGCTTTGCTAATGACATGCTAACACAGTTGTTGCGGGGGCCTTCCTGCTTCCTCCGGCTGGGACTCAAAGAGTTCAAATAAATGACCCATTTGTTTCAGTCACATTAGTTGACAGTCATTTTTACAATCCTTGACATTTAATTTGTAACTTATAAACAATATCCAATTATCGCCTTTCATTACCATTTAAATAGCAGTTACATCTTTATAACTGTTCTAAGTGGATAAATTCAAAGCAGGATTTGTTTGCATCCTCTCTTGTTAACATGTTATGCCCAATTAAGTCACATCATGCAACCACCCAAAAATAAATTCCACTCAAAAAAGGGAAAGTTAACCAGACGGGATGTGACATTTAGGGAACACAGAGCGACCTGCTGACCTCAACAGAACAACACACACACACAACAAACGCAGACTTGTGGTAGACGAGGGAGAGAAACAGGCTGATGCAGTTTCCAAGGTGTGGTTAAGCTGTGTGACTGGTGTCCTTTCACTTTGCTCTTTATATCATACCGCTGCATCACATTTTCTGTTAATGATGGTCACCACCTTTTAGCAGAAAAACTCCACCTTTGTGAAAATGCTATCACAACACAGAAAATACATACACGTGAGCAGATAAAAACTGTTAGAAAGAGAGGGGGTGGGATTGGATGAAAGATGTATTCAGCAGCATAAAAACAAACTAGGGTTGAAATGGAATTAAAATGGCAGCTTACATCCATGATAACAGTTTATATATTGTACTTAATATCTAGGCTGTGTCAAAGGTCCATTCTTCTCAGATGTTGTGAAATAAAAAAGCGTAAAATAGCTACGTATTGCACACACGAGCAGTTTTGAGGAACTGGCAGTTTACATGATTTTCCTGTTTTGCTATATTTCTTTTTTTTCTTTTTTTTTTCTTTTTTTTTGCCAGTATTTCAGGAGGAAATTCACAAGTAAAGCATTTTAAAATACAATACAAAGAGAACAGTTGAGTCAATTTACATCAACTCCATCTTATATGTGTTAATCAATATTTTTTACCACAGGATATCTAATGTGTTTCCATTGCTGATACTATGATACTTTAATTTAATAGGATAGTTCATGACTGAAATCTATCCACCTCCTTTGTATCAGGTTGAAGGGATTATTGTATATTTCAAAACACAGACAGATAAAACTTGTCTGAATTGATCAATCCGACTAGATGTTTTCTCTTAATAATATGGGTGAACAAACCCTTTTAACTACATCTTCAGACTACAATAGAGACTCCAACAAGTCATTTATTTACCATGTAATATACTGTACTGTATGTCATGGATGAGGAAACACGTTTGGACTCCTGTGTGACCAGTAGGGGTAGATGTTGGACTTGGCAAGTGTTGCTTTACCACATGTTGAGTAGCAGTTAAAACACTGTACTTGGTGAGAGTAACTTGTGTAGCTGCATTTACTCATGGATCACTCAGCCTGATAAGTTTAATTATTATAAGGAGTGCCAAAAAGAATCAACATTTAACACATATGTACACTTTAAAGCTTTTTAAGACCCTTTCAACATCATTTTAAACAAAAATTAAGACAGATTTGTGGACAAATTATATTTTTTTGTGCAAGCTTTGCAGGTAAATATAAAGGTAAGTAGAATATATTAAAACACGCAGAAGAGCTTAACTCATTTAGATGCAAAGAAATCATGAAGAATAAGTGAAATAAGTCAAATGTTTGTTGCAATTAAGACCTTTTCAATTCATATTTTAGGACTATTGCATGAGTTTTAAGGCCTAATATTAATAAAAATTGAATTTAGGACCTGCAGAGACCTTAACACACACACACACACACATACACACACACACACATATACATATATACATATATACAGTACAGGCCAAAAGTTTGGACACACCTTCTCATTCAATGCGTTTTCTTTATTTTCATGACTATTTACATTGTAGATTCTCACTGAAGGCATCAAAACTATGAATGAACACATGTGGAGTTAAGTACTTAACAAAAAAAGGTGAAATAACTGAAAACATGTTTTATATTCTAGTTTCTTCAAAATAGCCACCCTTTGCTCTGATTACTGCTTTGCACACTCTTGGCATTCTCTCCATGAGCTTCAAGAGGTAGTCACCTGAAATGGTTTTCCAACAGTCTTGAAGGAGTTCCCAGAGGTGTTTAGCACTTGTTGGCCCCTTTGCCTTCACTCTGCGGTCCAGCTCACCCCAAACCATCTCGATTGGGTTCAGGTCCGGTGACTGTGGAGGCCAGGTCATCTGCCGCAGCACTCCATCACTCTCCTTCTTGGTCAAATAGCCCTTACACAGCCTGGAGGTGTGTTTGGGGTCATTGTCCTGTTGAAAAATAAATGATCGTCCAACTAAACGCAAACCGGATGGGATGGCATGTCGCTGCAGGATGCTGTGGTAGCCATGCTGGTTCAGCGTGCCTTCGATTTTGAATAAATCCCCAACAGTGTCACCAGCAAAACACCCCCACACCATCACACCTCCTCCTACATGCTTCACAGTGGGAACCAGGCATGTGGAATCCATCCGTTCACCTTTTCTGCGTCTCACAAAGACACGGCGGTTGGAACCAAAGATCTCAAATTTGGACTCATCAGACCAAAGCACAGATTTCCACTGGTCTAATGGCCATTCCTTGTGTTTCTTGGCCCAAACAAATCTCTTCTGCTTGTTGCCTCTCCTTAGCAGTGGTTTCCTAGCAGCTATTTGACCATGAAGGCCTGATTGGCGCAGTCTCCTCTTAACAGTTGTTCTAGAGATGGGTCTGCTGCTAGAACTCTGTGTGGCATTCATCTGGTCTCTGATCTGAGCTGCTGTTAACTTGCCATTTCTGAGGCTGGTGACTCGGATGAACTTATCCTCAGAAGCAGAGGTGACTCTTGGTCTTCCTTTCCTGGGTCGGTCCTCATGTGTGCCAGTTTCGTTGTAGCGCTTGATGGTTTTTGCGACTCCACTTGGGGACACATTTAAAGTTTTTGCAATTTTCCAGACTGACTGACCTTCATTTCTTAAAGTAATGATGGCCACTCGTTTTTCTTTAGTTAGCTGATTGGTTCTTGCCATAATATGAATTTTAACAGTTGTCCAATAGGGCTGTCGGCTGTGTATTAACCTGACTTCTGCACAACACAACTGATGGTCCCAACCCCATTGATAAAGCAAGAAATTCCACTAATTAACCCTGATAAGGCACACCTGTGAAGTGGAAACCATTTCAGGTGACTACCACTTGAAGCTCATAGAGAGAATGCCAAGAGTGTGCAAAGCAGTAATCAGAGCAAAGGGTGGCTATTTTGAAGAAACTAGAATATAAAACATGTTTTCAGTTATTTCACCTTTTTTTGTTAAGTACATAACTCCACATGTGTTCATTCATAGTTTTGATGCCTTCAGTGAGAATCTACAATGTAAATAGTCATGAAAATAAAGAAAACGCATTGAATGAGAAGGTGTGTCCAAACTTTTGGCCTGTACTGTATATATATATATATATTTCTTCACTTGAGCCTGGCTGCCTTACTGATACACAGCAGCATTCAAAAGACAGATGTAGGGAATATTAGCCTGATCATTAGACAGAATTCCCATTTTGTTTGACATCATTATTTGAATTACTGAAAAAAAAAACAACTAAGATGTAGGCAAAGATTCAAAGGACTGGAAGCAGGTGAAGGGAGTGTGTGGCTCTCTTTTCCTAGGAGTTATTAGATAGCTGGAACTTTACTAATGCATTTAGCCATATTCATTCAAGGGATGTACTTAAATCAGACCAGTCAATGTTATTATAGTTTACAGGAAGTAATGGGATTGTTTCTGGGTAATTTCAGTATGAAGTATGAATTTATGATATTAACTGGTAGCTTTGATATAATTTGACTGTTTTTATAGTTTTTAAGAGGAAAGCATTTTAGACTTGATATAAGCTCATGTCGTCAGCATGCATTCGCTGATGTGATAGTGTAATTGTTGCTCTCCAGAGAAACTGCGGCAAAGACACACACTTGCAGCTTTTATTGTCAAAACTGAGAAACTTAATTTCTGTAGAAACCAGCACATAGCAATGTGATAGTATGAAGGCTTTAATGCATCCTTCCGAAGTATTATAACAACCTTGCAACAGCAAAACAAAGTAATGTAGAATTGCTGTAAGGAAGGACATGAGTCACAGTGGAAAAAAAAAAATCAATTTCCTTTTAATCTGTTCAAAGGTGGACTTTCACTCGATTTGTATACAAAAAAAAAATACATTAATAAAAACATTAATATATTTTTTGCGGCAGATGTTGCCAATACATTTAAAATTAAAAACATGAGGGGACAGCTTGAGTCACGTCAAATGACACTGCTTCAACTGATCTCGGTATACATTTACTGGTCATGTACGTTAGCAAACAAGAAGTGTGATGATCACCTTAAGAAAGAAGACCTATTCTGAAATCAATCATTCCACTCAGAAACATTTCCTGTCCATGTGTGGGAGGTGGAGGGGCTTGACGGCAACACTCAGTAGCGACCTGCAGAAAAAAGAAAGAAAAAAAAAACAAAACACAACAGTATCATTAGACACATTAAAACCTGTTAAATGCTTCAATGACAGACTGGATCATTTATGAGAAGCACTCACGGGGAGAATAAGACCGTGATCTGGATCGAGACCTGTAGGCCCCTCTGTAGTATGGGGATGGGGATCGCCTTCTGAAAACAGGCAAATTAAAAACACACAGTCATACTCTCCTTTTTCAGAGGGTTTCACATGTAAAAATACAAGTTGGTGATAAAAGTCCCATTTTGGAGACTGTGGGACTTCTAAAAGATGATGATAGTCACCTGTATGATCTGTAATGGTCCCTGTCGTCATAGCGATCATAGCCGCCTCTGTCGTATCCACGGTCATATCCGCGATCATATCCACGGTCATAGTCACGTGAGCTGCGTCGAGGACCACTGGGACCTCCACCTCCACCACTACACAAAGGACAAAACATGGATGAGGCTTTTGTTTCATATTTAACTCAACTTACAGCGGTTTCATTTTTACGATTCTGTTTCAAATTTGAAAGACAGGTATCCAATATGTCACGTTATATTCAGTTTATTTTACTGTTATAGTAAGAAGGCTCCACTTATAAAGTCATCTTTTAAGTCTGCTGTTAATGCAGCTGTTTATACTCTCTCTGGGTTGTACTCATCCACACATGTGGCTTTAGCAAGCATATGGTCAGGCCACGGGACACTCTGCGAGCCCAACTTAACAGGTAAAAAAAAAAATTTAATTGTAATGTAAAACATCAGGAATTACATTTCTTTTCATTTTTATAAAAACAGAACCTTCCCTTGCTGAAGTCACAGGATTGGTCACTGCTTTTAAGAGGAAACAACATGCCTTATATTCAACCTGGTGTTAATTTTCTATGAGTAGACTCATTTCCAGCTGAAATTGCATGTCCAGAAATATCCACCTTCCCATTATTCTGCATTGTCACTTTCATCTTTTAAAGATTAGAACTAAATCTAACAAATCCAAACAAACAATCAGTATGTTTCGGATGCCTTACTATGTTGGCCGGCCCATGTAGATTCCAGGTGTTGGGGTGTGAGGTCTTTTTGTGATGGAGAAGTCCACCCTGATCCTACGACCATCCAGCTCCATGCCATTGGCTCGTTCCTTTGCCTAAGATAAACAAACAAAAATGATCTTTAGACCCACAAAATTCCACAAATATGTTTGACAGGTGCCTTTGCTGTCTCATCTTCTTTTACCTCTTTAGCGTCATCGGTGTTCTCGAAGTAAACGAAAGCAAAGCCCCTGGAACGCCTCGACTGCTGGTCATACACAATAGAGACATCTGCCAGGGGGCCGTATTTAGAGAAGACTTCCCTCAGATCCCTCTCTGTGGTGTACAAGCTCAGGCCAAACACTCCCACACAACCGTTCGGGTCTGGATTAGCCTGTAAAATTAAAAAATATTCAGGTTTTGAAGAGTCCATACTCATTCAAGAAGGTGTTTTTTACAGCAGAGTTTCTCGAATATTAAATTATGAATTAATTTATAGAAATGTTTAGGATCTAGGATGAATATTTTCAGATATTGTGCAGGAAGAACACAAATTCAACTTTTAAAATATGTCAAACCTCTTGTACCCACAAGGGCCATAGAGTACTTACACGGTTGCCGATATGCCTGCGGCGGTTGGACATCGGTGAGCGGCTATGGCTCCTGCGGCGGCGCTCTCCACTGTAGGACCTGCTGTGAGATCGGCGACGATAGGACCTAGAGCGGGAGCGAGATCGGCTATAGTGTCTACGGGAGCCACGATGGGAGTGGGACCTGTAAAGACAAAAACACTCAAACATTCATAATGGTCCCATGGTTATTCACATTCCTCAATTTCTCTAAAACTGTGTCAAAAGGAACACACATCTATATCCAATTTCTCAACTAGCAAGGGGAAAGTATTAGTAATTGTCACTCACCCAGATTTTGACCTGGATCGGGACCGAGATTTAGAGCGGGAGTGGCGGGAGCCCTCTTTAGAACGAGCAGGCGATCGAGCTGGGGAGCGGCTTGCCGACTTCCCAGAGCCCCGAGGACTGACACTCCTGGATCTAGAGCGAGACTCCTGAACGAACCACACACACCAACACAACTCTTGTCAGCACCAGTGTGAGGACAAACTGAGACATATGCCTAAACAATTATATATGGTAATTAAGACTATCCTGTGAAAATACAGGAAAGAACAGAATTTAGGATTGTGGGTTAGAAATGCAAATTAATGCTATTTCTGTAGCCATGGATAATTAATATCAATAAGATTACATTAATCAATATTAAACTGTCAACATGATGAATAACAGAAATTTGTCAGTTGTGTAAAAATTGTAATGATTTAAACTGTTGTATTCAATAACAAGAACATGCACGCATTTGACAAACAGACCAGAAAATTACTTAGCGCGGTGGCCTTATCCAGATTACTTCCTTAACTTCATTTCTGTAACTTCATTACTTCACATTATTCTTCTTTCTTCAATTGTTTTACTTCTTCTTACTTCCCCCATCTCACACACTGCCCATACTTCTTCCCTCCTGTTTTAGCATGCATTCAACAATTCAGCTTCACACATCTGAGCTTCATATTATTGAAAATAAAGTGGACTTCTTCCGCATTTTCTTCGTCCAACCTTAACCTTTATGAAAAAGAAAAGGATGAAGAATATATAACTGCAATTAAAACTGCACCCTCATTCAAATTTTAATGTGTTATTGTAATCTTATAACATGCATGGGAATGTTTAAGACCACATAATACAAATCTTAAATGTTAATTTCTACAAATATTTCACTTTCAGTGCTTCTATGTACACTGTTATGCCCTATCAGCCACTTTCAGTAGGGTGTAAGAAGCATCTTGGTTGAATCAGACACAGACAGGAAAGCAGAACAAACAATAAGGTCCTATACATATACACAATCACAAGATGGTACAGAATATGAAATGATTTCTCATTTTTACATTTCCATTTTTAACAATAAATGTATGGTGTTTCATGTTGAATAGATCCTGCTCACATAATTTGTCAAGTGGCTGTTAAGGCATCCAGGTGTGTATGAAACCACTGAATGTGAATAATAGCTATGATTACACCCCACCAACAGTACCTTCATTTAAAATAAGCCAATGACCTCAAGATGCTTCTGCTACTCATTTGTATTGACTTGCATTATCATAT